ATAGAACTCTTAAAAAACTCTATGTCTCACGTGACAACGATATGATACTCTGCAGTTGCTAACTGCAGAGTATCCTTTTCCCGGGTGCACTTTTTCTGAATTTTTTTTGAAAGCATAGAGTGAAAGTTACAAGGCCATAGAAGATTGAGGGTCATGTAATCCAAACATATTCATGGGGTCCTCTTAGCCAATTACGCTCGTTTTCCATGTAACGTACGCACATGGCCAGGAGCTATGGTCCAATCAAACACAGACTGAACCACGGCGACGTAGCTTTACGTCTGTGAACTTTGCTCAACTGTTGTCCTTAAATCAAATTGGATTTCCTTAACAGTTACTCTCGGATGTTGGGAGAATACTGTGATGATAAAAGAAATGTCTTCCCTTGAGCTAAATCGTTATTAAAACACAAATGTTTTGAAAATTTTCCCTTAAGCCTAGATTTGTAATGAGTATTCATTACATTTGAACTTTGTTGGCCTTGCGAGGCTGTCTTCGAGTTAAGTCAGGAAACATGTATTACCGTTTGCTGCAAACCACAAGCAGCCCAAGCTCTGAAATCCAAAATATCGCTAACTCACCGAAAACGCTTGAAAATGACCTGAGACGCTGGTAATCAACAATGAAAACAACAAGGCGATAAGGTAAGTCCATTTTATTTCAAAACAAGATATTCTTTATAACATCCCATACAAACCTTTAGAAATATAAAACATTGCGCAACACTGAAAGAGTCACGCCCGCTTTTCTAGTAGTGACCTTGGGCTGCCTGTGTGCAAACAAACTTAAGAGAAACGAAGTAGCTCCTTAATGGGATTTAAGGTATTTGTAAAGATCTCCTTTAAAACTACATTCATAATTATGCAAAATATTCTTATTTTCCTTGAGCGGGTTTCAAAATTTTACGCATTTACCACTCGTTTCGAACCTCTAGGATTATAATTTTAAACAAGGTTCGATCGAAGCCCGGATTTTGGCCATCAATTAAAAAACATGAGAAATATTTGCGTTTTACAGTTTGTTTTGATAAGAAATTTACATGAAAATGTAGATCAAACCACTGTAAGCTGTTCGTCGCATTTCGAGAGAAGCTTAAATATTGAGGTTTTAGAGTTTTTCTTGGGGTGGGGGGAGGGAGGTTTGGGGGACTGGCGAGGGGTCCCTTTAAATTTAACATTAATTCCCCCATGTTCATCAAACTGGTCTCTGATTTCTGTATGAAATGTTTTTTTTGTAAGCCCCCTACTGCGCCAAATGTAGCCTATGAGGACATCTACCCATAGTTACCATTCGTTTCGCACCTTTAAGGTTATTATTTTTTATGCAAGGATCGATGGAGGCCATTTTGGCCGTTTATTCAAATACATGCTAAACGTTCGCATCTTACAGATTGTTAAGATGAAAAATTTTGGGCTATTTATATAGCAATGTCGATCAAGCAACCGTAACCTGTTCCTCACATTTGGAGAGATCTAGAAGAAGCTATTGGCACCAACGGTAG